ATATATATATATATATATATACAACTAAAAGTGATTCATAAAATTTATAATTCATATCTCTGTAATTTAGACCATAAAAATAGGAACCGAGTTCTAGGCTGTTGATGTTGGTGCACGTTACACAAATGATAACACATTTTATGTCTTGAAAACAGAATGGCTTACATTCAGAAACATTTAAACACTAATACTTGTGAAACAATTAAAAGCATTATATACACAAATATCTACATAAATATTATATTTTGAACCAAAATTACTTAAAATCATTAAAACCTGAATAAAGTAAAAACAAAGCTTTGATAGTAACAAATCAGTATTATCAGGTTACGTATATACTTTAATTTTTTTTTTTAAACTACAGAACATAAATATATGTAGATAACCTGAAATGTTTAAAATGATTAATAATGTGTTGTTGTTTTTCTAATAGTTGAAAAGAGCAACTGTTCAAAATTCTGTGTCTGGAGAGTTAGAAACAGCAAATTATAGAATTAGTAAAAGGTAAAATTTGATTGATGAGATTCTTTTGAGTGCATTTATGTTTGTTTTACCTGTCTAAGTACCATTTTATTATAAACATTGGACACAGATTTCTTACTTGTCTCACACATGCACAGATATTGCTTGAATTTCATCAGCACTTTTTAATACTACATCGTAAATATATTTATTTGAATGTGATTGTTATAGTATGCTTGCACATTTGTAGTGATAATGTGACTGTATTGTTCTTAAGACTTGATTTTTACACTAGTCTGTATTAGAATTGGGCAATTAATTGATATAATTGATTAAGTATAAGCATTGATTATGTTGATTAGTTTGACATAAAATAAGCAAAGTTAGAATTAAGTCAATTAATGTCACAGAAATATTCAACTAATTGATATTTGTATTTCTGAGTATTACCATTTTTGATTATTCCATCTGTCCAAGTAATTGGAATAATAGGTATTACTACTTCTCTTGGCACATCTGCACATGGTGATTTTCATGTGTTTTGCTTGTACACAACTCACAAATCTGAGTGTGTGTGGCCTACCGACTGTTGGTTACACATCTAACAACAGTGATGTCTATTGTTTGTGTTTACCTTGTTTGTCTAAATGATACTGTGGTTTTAAGTTACAATATTGCTTACTTAGTACAATCTACAAATGTAACCAGTGTTACTTGGGGTAAGATTGCTTTAATATAAGCTGTTATAGCAAGTTAATATTCGTTATTCACACAAGAAAAGCTTGATTGCTGAATAACTTGCTCATTTAACTACATTTGTAGAAATTACTTGACATGGATTAATAACAGTGAGTAATACCATTAAGTTATTAATCTGTTTACTTAATCATGGCTGCTGTTTAATTAAAAACTAGCTCTAATTAAACAGGAAACATTCAAAAAGGAAAACAAAAACCTGGCTGTCTTTTTATGCCACTTAAACACAGTAAGCTTTAAGTTGTTTCATTTATTGATTTTCCAGCATTCATACGGGCTTCTACAGTTTCTTCTAGCCTGTACTGTAAAATGGAAACAAAGTAATAGTTTTAATGTGCTGTTTTTAAACTTCTATCTCTATTAACAACTTCTTTAAAAGATTATGATGTTTTTTTATACCTATAAAGTTGTTAATTATTTTTAAGTTTTGTCATAGTGCTTGTAGAATAAGAAAAAAATATCCAAAATGTCTGTAATTAAAGATTTTTGCATATTACCATGATTTTAATATTTCTTATAATACTTCAATTTCCACCTTATAACTCATCATAATTTCTGCTAAGAAGTCATCTAGTATCATCACAAGTTTACATGCCAAACAGTAAATGCTGTAATATCTTTGTTTTTTTTCTATGATTAGCATGAATTTATTTTCAGTGAATTACATGTTATCTATCACACATTGTAGCAATAATTTATACTAGTTTTATCACATGAAATTTTTGGACAATCATTTTTAACAAAGAATTAATTTCCTTAGTTTTTATATGGTAGTCTTGTAAACATTTGTAGGAAGAAACACATGGAACAGTACTAATCATATTTTCAACTTGTTACAGGTTTCATAGACATTGCATATATGATAATTTTTCACATACAACAGTTTAGGATTAAAAATGTAACTTAATTCTAAATTGCTATACCAGAAGATGTCTATTGAAAAAGGGTAGTCTTTAAAAAATTTAAAGATAAAACAGAAATATTATTGTTATGTGAGAGTAATCAATTGGCCCATTAAATAACCAACTCGTAAATACCATTAATCACCCGAGTGTATTCTGTATCATGTTTAAAAGAAGTTTTACATTGGCTTTTCTTTAGTGCTTGGCTGACAAATCAGGAACATGATGTAGTAGCTAGGATCAGTCAGAGGATTGAAGACCTCACAGGATTGACAATGTCAACTGCTGAAGAGCTACAAGTTGTTAATTATGGTATTGGTGGCCACTATGAACCTCATTTTGACTTTGCCAGAGTAAGTGGATTTAATTGATGCTTCACTGTTCTAAATAAAGATTTAATATGTAAGGTATTAGTAACAGTGCATTAGTATAATTCTTACAATAAGTGTCTAGTGTGCTTTTTTTGTGCATATAATTTTTAGTCTCTCTCTTTTTTTATGTAACTTCAATCAGTTTTTTCTGTTGCAGTTTTTCAAATGCATGTATGCTTATAAGTATATCTATGTGTATTTGAGAAACAAATGAGACCTGTTTTATGTATTTTTTAAGTAATGTTGTACTCTGTTTTTTCTCTATACATAATTTCATTAAATATTATTGATTATAATGCTTGCAGTTAATTTGAAAACTTTCTTTGAATTAATTTTTACACTTAAAAGAATAATGTTTTCATTGTAGCTTAGTATATAGATTTGGGACTAACTGAGTCTCCTAAGGTGACCAAACCTTGTGAGGTATTTCCAGGATTATAGCATAAAATATTACTAACAAAGAGGGTACCAAAATGGTAATTAAGTACATTATAATCATAAGAGCCTTTAAATTTCTTGTGTAGTGATTTGTGACATTAAGTGCTTTTAGTCAATTTGTTATATAAAATCATCTTCATTAATTTATAAGCTACATTTTAGTTCTGATCTATGTAACTTACTTTTGATCAAAAATTCTTATTAATTAGCATATGAACAGGAAATTTTTAGTTTTATAATGGTTAAATAAATCTTCTTCTCAGTAATTGTTTATTAAAATTAGTCTTAGCTATGGTTTATCATAGTGAGGTTAAACAGTTAAAATCAGTGTTAATAATTGTTTAACTAGCACAGAAGGTTATTTTAACTGGCAAATTTCATTTTAGTATTATGTTTGATAGTCAGGAAAAGTTCATCTTAGTAAGAGTTATATAAGGACAGAAGGTTTGTCTTAATGATTATTCAATAAATAGGGAAAGTTCATTTTGTTTATTATAAAGCCACTACTAACTTGTTTGTTTTAGTATGGTTTGATAAACAGGGTAGGTTCATTTAGGAATATTTTAATAAATGGAAAGATTGATCTTAGTGATTATCTAATAAACATGGAAAATTTATTTTTTAGAGTATAATAAACATGGAAGGTCTTAGTAATTTTCTTCACAGAGAAAAATAGATTTTAGCAGTGGTTTAAAAAAGAACAGGACATTTTGATAGTAGTTATAGTTTATTAATGAGATATGGTGGAACTTAGTGATAATTGTCTGAAAAAGAAAGGTTAAGTATAAGAGGTAAGGTTTAGTGATTTAGTGAAAGAACAGCTACGACCAACCAGTTGACAAGTGTGATATACAAGGTTGTTGAAAAAATCATGCCACATTTTGGAATACATGAAAGGTGGCGAACTATAGCAACTAGATCTAGGTTTGTGTTCTGCAGTCACAGGGTAACACTTAAACATGCAATATGTAATGTTACACTAACTTCCATATGAGGTGTGACTTTTGAATATTACGGTATATTCAAGACTTCCAACATTGTAATATCCTTATACTTGTAAAAGTAATACTCATGTATTTTAATGCTTTAACTGCCATATAGAGAAAGGAATTTGTATATCATATAAAAGCTGTATGTAAGTATGACACAAATTAAAACATTTTAGTAGTTAGAATGTGTCGTAATTGATAGTATTTACTATTACAAACTTAAACATGCTTTTTTTTTCTTTTAAGAACATTTTTGTATGCTTACTTTGATGGATAAACTCTGTATATTACAATAAGTTCACCTTCAGTTTAGTAAAGGTAATATTTTTATCAAAAGCATCAAACCATTTTACAAGTATTGTAAGTAGTTTAAGGAGTTTTGACTACTATTACTCTGCGCTTGAATCCAACCTTTGGATCAACCAAAAACAACAATTTCATTTAATTATGAAGAAATATTAGAAACAGGAATAAAGTCTGTAGCCTTTTTTTTTTTTTTTAACCTGTTCTGGAGCAAAGACCAAATCCTGTTAAAAATGAGAAAATTAAGGTGTAAAACCTAAGCTCTGATTATTTAGAGTAAAAGCCAGTTTACCAACAATGTCTTGAACTGGTTAACTGGTTTGATTTTATGAAATTGAATGATCATTATTAAAAATATGTGTTATAACTTGTATCTTACAGCGAGAAGAAATAAATGCCTTTAAAAGTTTGGGAACAGGAAATAGAATTGCTACTTGGTTGAATTATGTAAGTTGTTTGAAGGTTTTTATATTATCATATCACTGTCGCATAAGAAATAAAGGAAAACAGTACCACAGTTTAATTATTATTCTTAATACAGCATGTTAATTTTAATCATTTTTACGTAGAACATTATTCACTTTAAAACAAAAAAATAAGTTTAAATTTTAGAAAACAATAAAATTGTATTTTAAATCAAAGATCTCAGGATTTCCACATGTCCTTGAATAGATTGAATTTTTCAACAATATTCCAAGCTTGAAAAAGTTTAATTAAAAGTGAATATTAGTGCTGTGGCAAAGGATAGTAGTTGTAACGGTTTTTTTGCATCTGACAAAGTCCAATGATAAAATTTTTTATCATGATATCTATGTGCTTGTTTTTGTTGTTGCTTTCATACAGAGTATAATACTACTTGCAATCCTATTGTTTGTGCATAAGAAAAATCTTTATTATTATTTTAATCAGATGAGTGATGTTGAAGCAGGTGGAGCTACAGTATTTCCTCATATCAATGTAGCAGTGTGGCCTAAAAAGGTTAGTAACCTATAACTGTGGTCAAATAATCAATGGCATTTTACTTAAAAAGTATTTACCTTCTTTTGAGTGTTTTTACAGTTTTTTTTCTATCTTTTCTGCCATTATTATTTAATCCTTTTTTTATTCCTCTCTCTCTGTCACTCTTTTTTCTTTCTTTTTTTACGTACAGAGTACATACAGATAGTCATTCATTTATCAGGTTCCCTTTAGTTTGTATTGGTGTTTTGACACATCTAACTAGAATTCACTATAATAAATTAAGAAGTTGAGTGTTTAGTAAAGTGATTTTTGTAGATATTGTATTACAGTTGCAGGTTTTTCAAGATAACTTGCCCTCTGTTGTTATCTCATATAAGTAGCAGTTATATAGAGAAATGTGAGCATGGAATTATAATTATAAATCAAAATTTTTATTTTTCTCAGAAGAAAATATAGGTAATGATGCAAATCATGGTATCTAGTATTTGTAAATGACAAACTGCTATATTTTTTGTCTTCTTAAATATGCCTACCAAAGCAATATAACTATACTTCTAAATAAAAACTGAGACTATTAACAATATTAGTGAGATGAGAACCTGTGGCTTTTAAACATTTAGATATTTCATGTTATATTAGTAACATATTTAATACACCTCTTTCTGTAATACTGCAGATTCAAAGGCTAAAAATGTTTTTTGTTTGTATTTTTTTTTGTAACAATGATTACCTGTCTGTCCATTTATATATGAAGAGAAAACATTGATGACATTTCCTTTTTTTTTCCATTTCAGGGATCAGCAGCTTTTTGGTACAATCTGTTCAAGAATGGTGAAGGAGACATGCTAACAAGGCATGCAGCCTGTCCTGTTCTTGCTGGCTCTAAGTGGGGTAATTAATGATGTCTTTATTTTTATGCATTAATTTTTTTTTTTGAGACATTAGATTTGATATTTTATCAATGTTTATTTTTGGTAGCTCTATAGTTTTATTTAGATATCTTAAAATTGGTGTGTTATGGAGTGTTTGCTTTTAATACTGTAATGAGTATACTAATATATCATATATCCTCTGCATGCTAATAACAAATACAAAACTTAGTTCTGTTTATGTTAAAGCTTTGTAAAAACAGCTAATACTTTATATGAAATTATAAACATAAACTTTCTACTAACAGATGAAACATATTCCAAGACAATGTAGTCATAAAAGTAGTTGCAGTTTGTGTGTCCAGTAAACTGAATAACCGTTTCCTGTCTTTTTCCCTATGTTTATCAGTTAAAACTGAAAATCAGAATCCCTATATATAGTTATATTTAATTGTACATTTTAGAAATTACTTTCATTGTTCAGTTTTAAAGAATAATACTTCCATACTAATTTGTTAATAACATGATTAATAATTCCAATAAGCTGATTTATGTAGTGATATTTCCATGCTATTTAATTAGTTGAGAGTTGTTTACAATTTTTATGAAATCATTTCGACTTGTTTCTTGAACCCTTGTTTTCCAATATTTCATTAATTTAACCTGATAACCCTGGTATAACAGTAAACTTGTATGGTATCTTTCTTGATACTTGCAATATATTCAGCTGTTTATCGAAACAGATCGAGTTCTGTACTTGTTGAAACCCTTCTTTTAAAAATGTGTAACCTCTTACATTTGTTTTATCTTTTAATTAAACTAAAAAAATGGGTTCTCTTAAAAATAGTAGTTAAGTATCTTCTTTTAGCACCATATTTAGTCATTTTTTTTAACCAGTTTTGGTTATTTTTGTGGTTCAATTATCATGGTTATTTGCATAATCAGCTGGAAAGAGCTATTACCCATCAGGGTGGAAATGCAGCATTGTGGGATGAACATAGTTGGTAACTCAAGATGTTATTCCTCTTTGTTAAGGAATTGAAGGTTCTATTTCTTGCAACAAGAATTTTTGTTCTTGTTACTATTTCACCACCCTCAGTAGTTTGCACTTTTGGAGCAACACATTCAGGGTCAAATGCCTCGTGCATTTCTCTCTATTTATACTGAACTCGTAATACATAAAAGGGTGAATTGTCACTCATCGGACTATATCATGTTTTTAGTCATCCGTTGTTCTCAGGAGCAAGAAGGTTTAACTGGGACACGTTCTGACAACTTTTGTTCTTTACAAGCCTGTTCAATTATCTTTGATCTTAGTCTGTTATACTCTTTTCTAGTGATGGACATACTTCATTTTGGTTGCTTCTGTTGGTCTATGTGTTTGAATAGCAAGTAAAAAAAAAACTCTTTTCTAATGATACCTCTTTTAGATGAACATTCACTATCATGCTATTTTTAAACTTTTGTTTGGTCCCTGTAATTAATTGTTGTTTTGCAGACTTGCAAACATATGATTACATCTTCTCATTTACAAAATTAAAGCTATTACCCAGCCTGCTGCATGATTGAACTGTTTCTACAAACATTTGGGGGGTAGGGTTGTAATAAAGTGGCCAGCCAGTGTATAACTGTTGTTGTCTAGAACAATAATTTTCACATGTAGCAAAAACAAACATTCCGAGACTACTTTATTAGGAATTATTTCTTTTAAAAAATGTAGATTTTTCAAGAGAATCACAATAAGTTCTATTGCAACTTTATTTCTGAATGTATTTTTAAATATTAGACAGTAAATGTTACTTGGATAACTTAAAATATTTTATTAGTGAATTAAAGTGAGATAACAACCAAGCATGTACTACCAAAGTTGATGATTTATTTACTACTAAATGTCCAGTATAATGACAATAGAAAACTGGAGAAATAAGTAATATTTAGTAAAATACTTTTATTTTTTTATACTAATTAAAGTAAACTCCATTCTTATTGTAGTGTCCAACAAGTGGATTCATGAGAGAGGGCAAGAATTCAGGAGAAAATGTGGATTGAAATTCTCTGATTAAGAAAAGTTTGGATCAGTAGAGTAACAAAGTCCATCAGAAACAATCCTCAGTTTAAGATTAGTCATATTCTCTGTTGCTTTTTTTTTTGTATGATAGTATTTTGTGTGGTAACTACTAGTATTACCTTTTACATAAAAGCAATAACTTTTAGCTTTTGTTAAATCATTGTTAAATATTAGTCAGTAGCAATTTTCAAAACTGGTGATGACCTAAATATTGACTATACATGTGTGTTAAAAGTAAATTTAAACTTGACATGGAAATAATTTCATATAGATAAATTTTTATATTTCTTATCAGATCAAAATTTATTTATTGACTAATCAGGATTAATGAAAGAAAAAAAACCAAAAGGAAAAACTATTCATAGTGTACTAGAGCAAATGAAACAAAAAATAGTGGTTAATTCATTCTAAACAGAATAGCTCTGTGGATTTAGAAAAAAAAACAACTTATTACAATCCAAAAAATGACCCAAAAAGTTTATTTTGCTCATTATAAAGGTGTTCTACCTTAAAACAAACCCAAATATTTTGAATTATTTAATTTAATTTTTTGAAATGGGGAATTGTTATAATTTAATATTGTTAGTAGTATCCTATTCTTAGTACTGAAAATAGACAGTGTCTTGAAAAGTACAAGTTTAAAAAAAAGAATTAATAAATGGCTAAATGTTTGAATCATACAGTATTTTTGGAATATTGTTTTCAGTCTGTATGCTTATATAATAATAAGTTGGAAAAAAATGATTTATACACATAATGAAGTGATTTATTTTTGAGGGAAAGTAATATATGTTCTGTCAAAAGATGGTATGTTTCCCCCAAAATAAGTCACTTCCTTATGCTTATAAATCATTGAGTGTATAAAAGGAAATTGATTTTTGATTAAAAGTGAAAGAAGTTAAAAGCTGGTGGTTCTGTTGAGGCAATGGTAATATAATACTTTTTGAAAAGTTTCAGGTTTAGAAAGAATAGCTCATAAAATAAGGGCCGACTAGGTCCATTAGTCTTTATGTTTACTTTATATTTGATAAAAAACACACACATTAAAACACCCATTTGAACTTCATGAAATTGGTTCATCAAATGATGTTTTTTTTTGTGAAATTTATAATGAATTTTTATCAGATGTTGGATATTTTAATACTTCCAATCATATTTATAAATCTTTGAAAACTAAATGGGCAGAATGTTTAAATTGTCAAAATCTTAAGGGGAAAGGTTAGATGTTTGCTTGACCTTAGAGGTTAAATTTCAAATCATAATTTAAATTTTATAACTACTGCCATTTATATTCTTAAAATATTTTATATGAAGTATGTGGTACACCAATATACTTAAGCAGTAACATCTCGTTATGCATTTTGTTTTTAAGAAATAATATAAAATATTTAAATCATTTTTGTATATTATTTTTTTTACCATAGGTTTTAATTCTTTACTGTCTTGTGTCTTTAAACATACCTCTTACAATGTTTTTTTTCAATATGAAAATTTAGAAAAATTTTGAGTAACAAGTTTATCATTTTATTGGGTCATCTGTTGGAACTGTAAAACTGGTGAAGATAATACTGATATTTTAGGCATTAAGATGAGTTAAAGAATGAATGGCAAAGTAATATTTTTCATAAAGTTTCACTTACAGTCTTTAATATAATTCCGATGTTAATACCTGTTCCAGGATAAATGTATGTTCCTACACTTAATTTGTTTTTAAACTAATGCCTTGTTGCCATAATTTCTGTCTGGTCTCTTAAGATTTATCTTAAACATACATGTGCATTCAAAGTTTTTTTACATCATTGATATGTTATAGTTCTTGTTGTAAACTTGTATACTTTTGTATGATGCCAAATAATATTTGTTTATTTGTGTAGTATTATGTTTGGTTGTTTGTACGAACCTATAAATATATACCACAAAGAGCAACTTACATATGGTCATGCAGAATATGTTGCCTCTTGCATTGTATACCAGAAATTATGTTCCCCATTGGCTCAGTGGTAAGCTCAGTGGTTGTTTGTACGAACCTATAAATATATACCACTAAGAGCAGCTTACATATGGTCATGCAGAATATGTTGCCTCTTGCATTGTATACCAGAAATTATGTTCCCCATTGGCTCAGTGGTAAGCCTGGGGGGCTTGTAATGCTCGAAGTTTAATTTTGATACCTATAGTGGGCAGAGCACAGATAACCCATTGCGTAGCTCTTTGCTTAATAACAAACAAGCTATTTACTGGATTCATCTTAATCAAGTCTAGAAGTTACTTTTCTAAAGTAATTAAATACATTTTATGAAATATCTGGTGGCAGCAACCTAAAATCATGTTAATCACAGAAAGATCAACTTTTTTGCAGCTGAAAAAAAGGCTCTAAATCTTACTACAATGGATGAAGTAATTGTATTTATCTATCGGTACCTATATATATATATATATATATATATATATATATATATATATTTGTGTGTTTTATATATATATATATATATATATATATTATAGTATATTATACTATAAGTATTATTCTTACTTACTTACCTACGTATACT